TTCGAAGCGCGTGTCGCAAAACTCCGTGATGTCAGGAAGATGGAAGTTGTGAGGGCTTGGTTGTGGAGTATGTCCTTCGGCAACATAACGTAGCTTCGCTTTTGTCAGGGCTGTGGCGGGACGACTTTGCCCGGCCTGGACAGCAACTGCGGCGATCATGGCGAGTCAGGTTTGGATGCTCTTCTCACCACGCCAGTAGCATTGAAAACGGCAATTTTCCAAGAGAAGACCTACTAGCATTTGCTATGACGAGCTTGAAGATTAGTGATCGAGTTGTTATCTGTAAATTGAATCACCATAATCGTCTCCGTCGCGATGTCGGCAGGTTGTGGGAGTGTAGGAATCAAACTGTAGCACAGAGCCGCGTATCGATGCAATCGCTTCTCCTTGGTTCATCTAGACCCAGAAAAAGACATCATCACATCTGTGGTGTTTCTGACCGGTTGCCTGCATTGTTCAACTGATGCAGCCGAGCACGATGGGCTGGAATGTCTGTGTCGGATGCCTCTCGTCCAACCATCCGCTCTGTGCGAATTCCTTCATCGAGGAGCGAGAGTGCGAGGCAAGCATGATACTGCAACCGTGGTTCACCTTGGCGACTGCCATACTGGAACTACCTAGAGCGAGGAGCAATCAGGTCACTCTGGCGGAGCTCGTACTGCATACGCGTGCCGCCGGAGTCACACATGTCCCTTTTCGTCGAGCATTGACAGCACTTGCAGCAAGCCGAGCACAGTGGCCGAATTGCAGGCATCCCGTCCATCTACCCGACCGCTAAAACTATCCGGGGTTTAGGGTGTCTCACCGATGAATATCCCGGATAACTGCAGGTCACAGCTACACGATGACCCGGGAGTCTTTCGGTAGCCGGCCGCTGCGGATCGTCTTCCCGATCCGTGAGACGGTGCTGTGTTCCCCCCACGTAAAACTACGAACCAACCTCTGAGAAGTTTAATATGCATGAGTTAATCCCGCTTCAGTGTGCGAAATGATGCTTTACGTCCAAATCGATGGAGCCTGGCCGAGTGGCAGGCCGCTGACATTGCACGACGTCGGCGTTCGTGTTGGGTTGGCGGAATAGAGATCGAAGAAGACAAACAAACTGCGTAAGATTGTTTTGTCATCCACGGCTTCTCCTCGGTATGCCAGGCATCTGTGGTTGATGAATATATGGACTACAGGTTGAAGCAAGAGATCTCGCGCTTGTACAAGCTGAATCTTTCATCATTCCTGCAGCCCCCAATGGCTTCAACCAGAATGGAAAGCCCTGCAACATTACAAGCCGGAAACCTCTTCAGCGTAACAGGACTCATCGCAGTCGTGACAGGTGGCGGCACAGGTATGCTCGGAAACAACAACATCGAGCCAGAATTGGCGTGCTAAACCTCCTGCTTAGGCATAGGCCTTCTTATAACCAAAGCACTGGTTGCCAATGGGGCCACTGTTTATATATTGGGAAGGCGCGGCGATGTTTTGAGGCAGGCCGCTCAGAGTATAGGTGTTGAGGCTGTGAAGCCGGTTATTTGCGATGTCACTTCCAAGGCAAGCCTCACATCCGCCGTAAACGTGATCTCGGCGGATACCGGATACATCAATCTGCTCATCTGCAACGCCGGCATCAGTGGTCCGCAAACGCATCTACCATCTTCAGAGCACCAGATATCAGTCGAAGATTTCTCACGTGTCAACATGGACGTGTCGATTGAAGACTATACCCGAACCTTCAGGGCGAATGTTGTTGCAACCTGGTACACTACCATGGCCTTCCTAAGGCTCCTAGACGCCGGCAACAGAAAGGGCAACGTGCGGCAGAAATCTCAGGTAGTGGCTATCACGTCCATAGCCGCTTTCAACAAGGTAGGTAATCACGAGAGCTCGTCTCATGGGGGCTCATGGATAATGACCAGAACGCAACAGGTTAACACGGCCGGATTCGCTTACAGCCAGTCCAAGGCGGCATGCACGCACCTGATGAAGAATTTAGCTGTTGCACTTCCAAGGTGGGAAATACGAGCAAACATGATATGCCCAGGACGTCAGTACTTTGAGCTTTCCTCTTCCTTCGTCATTCATTGTAGCTCACTTTGAATCTCCAAGTATACCCGAGCGAGATGTCCGGCCCCATTATAGACCGAGGGGGAATTGGAAGAGACATGGTACCCCTGGAGAGGGTAGGAAATGAAGAGGATATGGCCGGAGCGGTGCTGTATCTTGCTTCTAGAGCTGGTGCCTATTGTAATGGGTCTATAATCATGACCGACGGGGGAAGACTAGGCAATTTCGCGTCTACATTTTGATGTGCAGAGATGCTTTCCACTTGGCTACCGTTTTCTCTTGAAATATACCACAAGATCAGGACAAATCGCCATATCTCCTCCCTCGTGATACTTTTTCCCTCACTTGAACCTGTAGTATTCCTAGATATATTGAGATGGGCTCTAATGGTAGCCTGGAAACGGGACTGTGACGGGTTTTTTTAAGTCCTACAGCAGGCCTTTGTGCTGTCACGGCATCCCCTTGATAGACTATGACAATGCGCAGAATAAAGGCTTCTCATACGTACCTTGGTGTCGTCAATATGGAACATTACATGATCCATTGGCTGCGATGGACGTATAGAAGTCTGGAAGTTCCAGTAACAACGCATGGTCGGCTTCGCATTTACTCCGTCCTGTATCCATGGCCACCAGCATGTAGTATGTGGTGTGACTATCATGTATAGGTTCAAGATTGATCATCAGGGGTGTCTCAGCTCTTGCCGATGTCGTGATTCAGGGGAACTTCGCCGGATACGGAAATGGGCAGCTAGCTTTCTTGTTTTCTGGCGTTGCGCTATGCGAGACGAAGATCGTCCTGCATATGCATTACAAACCCATAGAGCGCAGGAGATTACCTTGAATCCAAGAGTCTCTTGGCAGAATACGCGTCGGCACGGGAGTACTCTTAGTGGCTGCATATGCGCTCAAGAAAGCATGTTGACGGGCCGTGACTTGGGGCAACACAGTGATGATGAATTTCTGTCTTCCGTCCTAGGCTTAAGAGTGGAATCACAAGTATTATAAATTCCTCTCTTGGGACTGTGCTCCAATCTCATGTCCACAGCTTCATACCACTCGCTGTCCGTGTTGCCCAGCATCTCGCACCAAATCAACTCCCTATCTTATCTGAATCCATTCATTTTCCATAAATTCTCTAATCATGTACTACCAAGAGATGCTCAACGACTGGCTCAAGGACCATGTCCTTCAGGCTCCATACATGAAGGATGAGCCTGCCTTTTATCGCAACATTGAGAAGCACCTCGATACCCTCCGAGCTGACTTCAGGCTCTCTACAGCAAAACCTCGCTGGGACGATACTGTTATTGATTGGGCGTCTAGCGACTTCCTCTCACTGAACCGTACCGGCCGGATTCGAGACGCCTACCTCAAAGAAATGACTAAGCATGGCGAAGACTGGGACCTCAGTGCTGCAGGCTCTCGCCTTCAGTACGGAAACTACAGCTACTTGATCGAGGTCGAGAAGCAGGTTGTCGAGTTCTTTGGCTCCGAAACTGCCTTCATTGGTCACTCGGGCTTCTTGTGTAACGTTGGCATCATTGGCGCCGTTGCACTGCCTGGTGACTGTTACCTCTACGACGAACTGGTCCATGCCTCAACCCACGAGGGCATGAAGCTCAGCCGGGCATCTCACAAGGTCTCCTTCGCCCACAACGACGTGCTCTCTCTGCGTACGAATCTGAAAATACTCCGGGACGAACATCCAGAGTTCAAAGCTGGTACCAAGTCAATCCTCATTCTTGTAGAATCTATCTACAGTATGAATGGAGACGTTTGCCCTCTCAAGGAGTTCGTTCAGGCAACTAAAGAGATTTTCCCTCTCGGTAACGCACAGTTTGTCATAGACGAGGCACACTGCGTCGGCGTCCTTGGACCTAAAGGTCGGGGACTGGTCTCGATGCTCGGCTTGGAGAAGGAAATTGCAATCCGGGTCCATATGTGTAGCAAAGCTATGGCCTCGACTGGGGGTAAGTATTCATCTGCCTCCCTCCCCCACCCCTACCTCCCCGATCGCGTGGGTGACTGCTTTTGTGCTGACCATCTGTGGCCTGCAGGTTTGATCTTGTGCAACAAGACCATCCGTGCCGTGATCATGAATCAGATGCGGTTCGCCGTTTACAGTGGCGCTCCATCGTTCCCCATGGTCGCCTCCATCAGGGCCGGCATCGAACTGCTCTCTACCGGAGCAACGATCAATGTATGTATGACACATATCTACGTCAATTCCCACCACTCTCGCCTCTGGGAGTTAAGCAACATTCATTGACAATGGTTTCACGAAACAGGAGCAGCAGAACATCCAAGACATTGTAGCCTACTTTTTCGAGAAGCTAACCACTAATATGGAGTGGCAACGAGCTAAATCTGCGGGCCTCCTTTCATGTCCCCTCTCGGAAGGCTGGGAGCAGCGCGTCTACCATACGCATATCGTACCCATCTGGACTAAGCCGCGCCACGAGCAGTATCTGTTCTTCCACATGATGTCGGAAAACATGAATGCCTACAGCTTCGCATATCCGGTCGTCCCAAAGGGCAAAAGCCGTGTTCGCATGGTTTTTCATGCCCACAACACCAAGGCCGACGTCGACAAGACGGTCAGCACTATAGCCGAGTGGGTCAGGGAGATGCTCGATATCGAACAGGACCAGTCGGCAGAATATGTCCCTCGCATCGCTAGCGAGGTGTACGGCATGAAGGCCGCGGTCAGGGGTTAATAGCGGCCGTGATGAATTTGAGAGGTGTACTGGCTGGTCAATGCTGCGACTGGCGCAGGCGCGATTTCGAGCCCAGCCCCGACAGATAGGTAGCTTTACTGTGAATCCAAGTGTTTGATTGCCAGCGCGCCCTCATGAGTCTAATGCCAAGGCTATTCTTGATGGATTCCCTTGGTGGGAACTTCACTTTCGCACATCCATTGCCACTATATTCCGCTTACATGGCAGGGGCTTTTCTCACGGGCTGATGGTGGGTTACGCCATGTGGGCCGTATCTGTTGACACGCGAGCTTGACAGTCCGATGCTAAGAGGAAGAAGAAGAAGAAGAAAAAGAAGAAGAAGACCGATTGTAGAGCAATGGCTTTCCTTAGAATCTGGCATTTCAATATCTCTCTATGATCCATTGTCTGCGCCTTTCCTCTGTCATTGAATCCATCATGTGCATCTCGCCATTCTTAACGTCCGTATATCTCTTTACGACCTCGTGTCCCAAGAACTCCTTCAGCACCTCATTTCTTTGCAGAGCATCGAGAGCCTCTCCCAAGTTCTTGGGAAATCTAACCGTCACACCAAGCTCTTGTCGCTGCTCAGCCGTAAGTTTTGCTGGATCGATGGCACAGTCGCGCCAAGTCAAGGGCTCCCCCTTGGCCAAGCCATCTGTCCCGGCTGCAAGTATGCCTGCTACAGCTATGTAGGGGTTCGCCAGACCATCCAGGGTTTTCATCTCCCAGTGGCTGTCTACACACTTTCGCAGTGGTGCCTCCTTGTTCTGTGTACCCCACGTTACCCAACGGCCACCGGCCCAGAAGCTATCAACCATACGTTCGTAGCTCGCAGGATTGGCATAGGCCAAAGCAATAAGGGCTGGGTAATTTTTGAGAATACCTGCATAGAAGCTTTCGTAGACCTTGGGCGCATTCCCGCCAGGGGAGCAGATCGATATGTGTACATGAGAGGCAGAGCCACTGCCTCCAGCAAAGGGCTTAGGATGCAGTGTCATGTGGAACCCATTCCGCATGGCCACGGCTTCGACAATGTGACGGGTCCGCAGCAGCGTATCACATGCTTCCAGAGGCGGCAGCGGCGGCAGGACAATTTCGTACTGTCCTGGGCCCGTTTCGGTGTGAAGCTGCTCGATCTCGACGCCTGCGCCATGTAGGGTGTCGAGGAGCTCGTCAATTATGCTGTTGAAGCTTCCTTCTCGGCCACAGTCGGCGATTGCTCTAGCCAAAGACCATCCGTGAGCAACGTTACGCAGCGCATGTGGTTGGTTCTCTCCGCAGGTCTCAAGGATCACGAACTCGAGCTCAAAGCCAAGCAGAAACGATAGACCATGTAACTCTGCCGATTCAAGAGTATTGCGGAGAAGTGTTCGGGGGCAAAGATCAACGTCAGATCCGTCCTTGTGTTTGAAGTCAAGGAATACTGATGCATGGCCCGAAACAGGACCTCGCCTCAGAGACAGCCAGTCTGGAAAAGCTTCATACATCCCAGTACAGGTGATCTCCGGAATTAAGGCGTCCGTTTGGAGCATTCCAAGGCTGGCCTTGGTGGTAGGTAAACTCAAGGGCTCGCCGCACTCCAGTAAAGCTAGCACCCGCTTTATGGGGACCATGCGACATCTTGCGGTCGACGTATAGTCATGCCAGCAGAGCCGGAGCCACTTGCTGTTGAGCTTTCGCAATTGCTGCACGACAGCAGTGGCCTCGGTAGACCCGTTGGTGCCACTACTCCCGTTGGAGGAAGACATTGTTTAAGGGATTTGATAGAAGTGTTTTTTAATCTGATAGTATATAGCAGACAAATTCTGGTGATGGAGGTTCAGAATGCTGTTCCAAAGTTGGGCCGTGAAAACCACCAGTGCCTTGACGAAGAAGGGGTAGATATATGTTTGTTCGGCCAAGGCCGCGTTGAATGTGCAAATGATGCAACTGCCTCTCTCGATCACCTGCAATATCCCTGTGTTCCCTATATCCGCATTGTATCCCAGGTTCAGGCCGGCGCTTTCTTGTGCCATTTGAATGTCTCAGTACTCTGCAATCAGTAACCCAGGTGTGTGGTCAAACACGAGTACAGGCATCCGCATCCCTTGCTTCTAAGAACCTGTCGATAGGAGGAAGAATTAGTAAGTATTGTCAGTAAACAGCATATGAAAGCAGGCGATGCAAAGGAAGTCATTCTCGATTATAAGATTATGAAAGAAAGATGTAGGGCTTATAAGACCAGTGAACTGGCACAGGTGCCATCAACTGGCATGTTACGTATCGACAGACCAATCTTCAACCGCCAGTTCATCATTTATAATAGTACACCTCCTCATATATGATGGCATGTATACTCTTGTTTTCCCTAACCGTCGTAATTTTAGAGGGATATGTATTGCTTCTCCCCTATTCTCCCACTTGAAGACCGTCGCATCCATATCCCGATTGGACCATGACGTATTGGTGTCTGTCATTTTAACGTGTATCGCTTGGCGACATATTTGTGTTCCGTACACGAGTACTCGTATGACAAGAGACTAAAAGGGGCGCCTTTTTCTCGGTCTGAAGTCTCGGCTCATTTGTCGTGCCCTAGGTGGGACTTCTGCTTGCCGCCGATGAGGTTGTCATGTTCCAATCACTCGACTGATTTCATCCTTGCATGCTGTTGCTTCTTGTCTACGGCCAGCTTGACTCGGCCGGAAATTACTTTACCGTAATATTTTCAAGTAGTCAGGCACTTCTCTCTGTCAGTTATTGGATTGACCAGGGACATGCTCCGTTCTTGACATTCAACTTTTTATCATCAGCACGCATACACTTTAGAAAAAGCAAGACCACAATCAAGCACAATATGGACGCACGCCGTCAATATTCCGCAGAGTTGAAATTCGACGAGCTCCCCGATCCCAAGCGAGTGTGGGCTGGCAACCCAGGCAGCCGAGAGGAAGGCCTCGGTCGGCTCGTCTTGCTGACAAGCGAGCGCACCCGCGACGCTGCCAAGGAGATTGAAACTGGTCAACGTGTCGGCCTCAACTGGGATCTGAGGAAGCTGGAGTATCCAGGCTACGGTCGAATCTCCTGTGGCCATCAGGTGGTGCCCCTCTTGGATGGTATCGCCTTCGATGACGTGTACACCATCAACCCTCGTGAGTAGGTCATCGCCTCTTGCCGAGTCTTGTCACTAACACCGATCGCATTAGAGCAGAGCAGCCAGTGGGACGGTCTTCGGCATTGGGGAATGTTGTCGGATCAAGAGCCCACGAGGCGAGAATGGTATGGCGGCACGACCAAGGCCGAGATCCTGGATCGCACGAGCGACCGTATTGGCATCCATCACTGGGCTCAGGAGGGCATCACCGGCCGCGCTGTACTCATCGACTATGCGTCATGGGCAGACAAACAGGCCATCAATTACTCTACCTTCTCTCTCCATACTATCAAGCTACAGGACATCATCGCCATCGCCGAGGAATCCAACGTCACTTTCAAGAATGGGGATATCTTGCTAATACGAAGCGGCATGATCCGCGAGTGGGAGAAGATGGACGAAGATGCCAGGAAGGCATACCAGGCCCTGGAGTCACCGCATCATGCTGGTCTTGAAGCCACCACGGACGTCCTGCGGTGGGTTTGGGACACCGGAATAGCTGCAGTCGCTGGCGACGCCATCTCCTTTGAGGTCTTTCCGCCACTTGGAGACATCAGCCTCCATGACTACTTCCTCGCTTCTTGGGGTATGCCAATCGGTACGTTCTTAGCCCCTGTTGGTATTTCTACACTTAAAAGCCCATCCGCTGACCACTGCGGAAACCAGGTGAGATGTTCGATTTGGAAAGGCTTGCCGAGACCTGCAAGGAGCTGGACAGGTGGACTTTCTTCTTTGCCTCGATGCCACTTAACATGCCCGGTGGGGTGTCTTCTCCGCCCAATGCGCAGGCAATCTTTTAATCACTTATCACCCCGAGATTGTGATTGTTGGGACGCATGAGACGCGATACTGGGGAGCCAAATTGATGTTACTGAGCATGATAACAAATGCTCCTGGCGCTCTCGCATCCAATGGTCATGTAGGCCAGCCTGATCGACCAGGATGGTTCTATCCCACGCTATTTAATGCTGCAACTGCAGTTCGGGCCTCATAAGTTAATAATAATGTGGTTTCTCTCTTTGCCCTAGGTCAGTGTTGTGTACCTTCGAGGATATCCAACATGAGCACAGAATCATCCAATGCACTTTACGTAACTAGCCACAGCATGTCAAAGATTCAAATATCTGTTAGGGTATAGTACAAGCTCGACAGGTAGCGGGTTCAGCCCAAATCTCCATGTCTAGGGACTTGCGTGCCCCTCGCTGAATTTCTGTGTTCAGTACCACCAGATCACAACCGGTCACACCGATAGGTACACCTCGTCAGACCATCAATTTCTACAAGAAGGGGCATTCTTTTGGGATATGTGGTGGCTGAATCTGCAGCCTTGCTCGTTTACTTCACAGTCCTTCGTGTTTTAGTTCTTCTCGTGCGAACATAATGACGTATGGGCTCTGAATGGATGATAGGCTCAGCAGTCGCCTTGGTCATGAGGTTGCAGCCGGTAGTAGCCATAGGAGACTTCAATGCTTCCTGAAGAACCCCCAGCATCGGTTGGGCTTACAATTGAACACTTCTGAGGCTCATCAGATTTGATTATCAAATACAGACACCACGATGAACTCGTCGTGGTCGAGTGGACAGTCTCTCCCTCACTGTCTGCCGACGGCAATTTGTGCTACTTCTCAGGTTTTGCCGAGTGCATTGTGCATCATTGGTCTCGTCGATCTCGACTGTGCTTGTCTACGGTTCGACACTTGTCTGGTATTCGTATCGGTACCAAGTTGGAGCATTGTAACCGTCTGAACTATGACCGGGGCTGTCTCGAAAGGCTACGTGTTTGCTTGTTTGACCCCAGATCGGGTCCAAACGCATATTATAGCGCGTCCGCCCACGTCGAGGTCAGAACGGCATCGTGTTCCCCAAACTGGTTTGGATACTGCTACGACATTCTGCATTCCATCGGTGGCAGCCCTTCCCCGTAACACCACCTCCATATATCCCCGCCCGGTCAACCGGCCAGCCATGAAGCATCATCCGGCAAGAATGATGTCGCGATGCTCCAGCGATGGATCAGCTTCCCGCCGGGCAGAATCAACTCCTCTGCTGGGAAACGGGGCCACAGATGGATCACGTCTATCGTATAACCCTGCCGGATACGACACCAACGAAGCCGCAAGCTTCCAGCCGAGCTCTTCATTGCCGAAAGTGCAAGTTCTCTTGCTATGCTATGCACGTCTGATGGAGCCGCTCGCCTTCTTCTCTATCTTCCCTTACGTGGCCGAGATGGTCCAGCGGAACGGCAACCTGGCGGAATCTGACGTCGGTTTCTACAGTGGCCTGGTCGAGGCGGCCTTCTCAGCGGCGCAAGCTGTGACCCTGCTGCTCTGGGGCACACTAGCCGATCGTTTCGGGCGCAGACCGATGCTCCTGTACAGCCTCGCCGGCATGGCAACCGGCACGGCACTGTTCGGCACGGCTTCGGAGATATCGCACATGATGCTCCTCCGAAGCCTCACAGGTCTATTCTCGGGCGCCAACCTCATCATACGCACCATGATTGGCGAGCTGTGCACGCCGGACTCGCAGGCCACCTTCTTCAGCTGGTATGCTGTTGCCGGGAATCTGGGCGTCTTCATCGGGCCCATCATCGGCGGTGCTCTCGCGGATCCGGCCAGCCAGTATCCCTCGGTCTTTGGGGACAGCGCGTTTCTGCAGCGCCATCCCTACGCCTTGTCTGGTTTCGCCACGGCGGCCATGACCGGCACCGCCGTCCTGATCACCGCCTTCGCGATCCAAGAGACGCTGCCGGAACAGGCAGACGGCAGTCTCTCCAAGGCATGTCAGATAACGCAGCAGGACTCTCCGCCGCCCTCGATGCGGCAGATACTGCAAACGACGCAGGTGCAGGCCGTGCTGGGTGGCTACGCGTATGTCATGTTCATCGCCATCGCTTTCATGGCCATCCACCCCGTCGTGCTGTACACGCCCGTCCACCACGGAGGGCTCGGGCTCTCGACGGCCCAGATCACGGCCTTCATCGCGGCCATCGGCGCCAGCGAGACCGTGTGGCTCATGATTGCATTCCCCCTGCTGCAGCGCCGAGTCGGTACGAAGCGCGTCCTGGTCGTCTGCTCGTGGCTGTGGCCGCTGTTCTTCGTAGGGTATATTGTCACCAGTGCGCTCGAGCGGGAGGGCGAAACCGTCGCTGCCGTGGTTGTGGCCGTGTCCAACATTGTCGTCGGGCCGGGGGCGTTCATGGCCTTGACTGCCGTCCAGCTGGCCGTCAACGAGGCGAGCCCGAGCCCCGGCGTCCTGGGGAAGCTGAACTCGTCGGTTGAGATCCTGTCCAGCATTATCAGGAGCGTTGTTCCAGGCATCGCTACGGCCATCTTCGCAGTCGGGGCGCGAGGCAACATTTTAGGTGGCTATCTAGCTTGGGTGGTCCTCGTCGTGTTCACGATGGGTCTCCCGTTCATCCTAAAGCGGTTCCCTGATGATCGGCGTCCGCTGTCTACCAGGGACTCAGGCAATTGCGGCTGCTGCACCGTAATCGGCTCATCGTAGGACAGGGAAGGCCTCTGAACCTACCTGTTTGATTACAAGAGAGGTGTAGGCTTTGGCAGCCGCTTTGCCGGTCTGTAATGTATTCTATGTATCATGTCCAGTTCGCTTCTC